GAAGTGTTGGTTCTGTATGCCGGTATCTTCCCATTTTTTCTGTCACGATGCCTTGTGCATGTGGAAACCTCTGAAAAGCGCCCAAACCTGCAGCCCCAAAGTTACTGAGACTGGGCTTTTTGATCCTAAAAGGGGCAGTGCTCTATCATTTGCACAGGTGTCCCCTCAGTTCCAGGGCCAGTGAAAAGGGCTGATTTGAAGTGTTAAGGCCCCTAACAGCTGGGGCACTTTACCTGAAAAATTTCCTTCCATATGTACCTAGCAGAAACTGTAAGATTGTCAGGGGCTCTGCTCCATGTGCCCCCACTTACTGAAGTGAGTAAGTGCTAGGTAGGGAGATGGTCTTCTTGGTGGTGGCACTCCACCAGGGAGGCTATTCAACCCCTGATGATTTCTGTATTGCCCTTCTAGGGTTAGGTGAAGACCATTTTATTCATCCAGTCCCTTTGAACATTGGGCCTTCTATCCTCCTCCTCCTGCTCCTCCTCCTTAAGCTTCTAAGGAGGGTTGGGCAACGAGTCGTCAGTCAGGTGCTTTGGCATACAGCTTCCATCAGCCCTAGCCAGCATGAGAAATGCTGGCGGAAGATGGGAGTTGGCGGCTATAACAAGTAATCCATTACAAGTAATCCATTCCTTTTTAAGAACTTGTCTTATTTTTACACATTAAGAAAGAAAAAGAAAGAAAGAAAATGATTTTAGGTTGCATTTTAGCATATCTGACTATTTGTATTTTAAATACTATGCTGTGTTTCGTGGCATCTTATTCCCAGTTCTGTGAGCCACCCAGAGAACATAGGTTGATGGGTGGCCATATAAATATGGTGAATAAATATGAAGTTTCCTGCCTGGAATGGATGTGATTTCTGCCAGCACTGTCTTGCGGAGATGTGCCAGATTGATAGCATAAAGGAGAGCAGAATGGAGAATGAATTCATTCTCCAGTGGATTTTCATTAGGAGTTAGTATTAAATCTCTAAAGGGCTCCATTTTATTGTGTGGCTGAAGTCTAAAACTGGTAACTCTTCTTTATAGGCCTTTTAAAAAATCCCTGGTTTTATATTTAACACATATTGATTTTATCCTATGGAATGAATAGATACCCCTGAAACTGCTCTGCAGGGCTGATGGACCGGATCCAGTGTCTAAATCGTTTCCTGGATGCTGTCATTGTTGAGAAATCCAGTATTTTGTAATTCTAAAGCTCTTGGAACATTAGATGAACTGCCTAATCCAACTAAAGGCAGTGGAAACCAGGCACTCGATATCCTTTTTCCACTCTTAACTGCTGCCCTTCAGAGGCCTCGACAGCAGGCCAGTGCTTGGAATGATCTCAGTGGAGCCAGAGGTCCTTGGCCTGTGCACACCAGCAGTGCGAAAGCCTGGGTTTTTCTCGCTGGGAGCCGGTTCACGGCTACACGCACTCGCAGACTCGTACTCTGTGCGTCTCTCTCAAACTTGCGGTGACCCGAGGCAGGCCATTCCACCGAGTTCTAAGTAGGCTTGCACTTCATCATTACCTTCCTATTCCACATTTCTGCCCTGGATGAATTCCGAATGGTGGACTTGTCCCTTTGGGATAATTGCTGTGGCTGAGCACCCCTGGTCTGCCCCCCATTAAGGCCTGCTGCCTTTGGACACCCAGCCCATCTCAGTTCTGCCAGACACGTCCCCGAGCGCAGGCAAGTGCGGTGTGGACCACTGAGGACAATCACCCTGAGCCCCCCGAAATCTAGAGCTGAGCCTGGCAGGGAATGTGGGAGTCTTCCTTTTCAATCTCTTGGCTAGGGGATCCAGGTTCCGCCATTTCATGGTTTCTCTGTATGCTGGTTTCTGGGCACCGCAAGCCGAAGGGTGCTGTTTTCTCCCTTCTCCCTGCACCTGCCTCCCAAGGTGTCCTTATTCATCCCTGGCATTTCTTCTCCCCTTTCCCTTCTGCACTCAACGAAGCTTATTTCCAGATGTTCCAGCCTGCAGCTCCCCTCCCCTCTCCGAACTGGCTGTGCTGACTAGGGCCAGTGGGAGTTGTAGGCCCAAGCATAATTTGCCCACCTCTGCAACTTACCCCCTCACACTGCCGGTTGATGGCATTTGTCATGCCTGCGGGCTGCCGCACAAAGACCCTCAGGAAATTGAATAGCAGCCCACCAGTGGCACCCAACACCCAGCTGGAGTAACCCTGGAGCTGTTCAGCCCACGGAGGGGGACTCTCCATCATGTCCCTGCAGTTTCTACATGGCCGCACGCAGCTCGGCCCTTTCTGGGCCCGGTCACGTCTGTTCTGAGAAGTGGAAGTTTTCAGAAAGGGAAATGCAAATGCTTAGCGCGGCCAATCCTTTGCTTTGTGCACATCAGCAATTCAGCAGGACCCATCCCCGTCCTCGTCATCTTTCCTGGGAAAAGATTAACGATGATAAAGCAGCGAAGGCCCAATTTTCACTGGAGCCTCCCAGCATTAGAATGATATAAATAAGAATCGTAAATCCATTGTTCCTGGTTACAGAATTCCCTTGGCATCCCGGAGAGAGCAAGGGACGGGTTACTGGGGTTTGGCAGGGGGGTGCGGGAGATTCACTGTCTGTTGATGTAATGTTAATTCATGCAATTCCTCCTTCCCTCCCTCCCTCCCTACGAAGAGCCCATTCCGCAGTTGCTGACATCCATTTCTTGCCAATTTTCTCCCCCTCCCCTCCCCTCCCCTCCGCTATTCTTTTGTTGTCTTCCCCGCTTGTCCAAATCTGGATTGTAAGGTCTTTGAAGGCAGGGACCTAGCATGCAACGTCTTCTACATCTGGATAATGCTGGAAAACCATCCTACAACAAAGATTCAGTTGGCTGGTCCAGGGTCTGGGGGCCATGGCACCCGAGTCCCCGTGACAGAGTGCCTAAAACTGGAGAGGCTTGGGAGTGGAAGAAGGACAATACCCCGTAGCTTCAGAGATGGAGGGGCAGGCATGGCCAGGAAGGTTCAGGTCTCTTTGCAGCCAAAAATCACTGGACAGCTTAAGAAGCGCTTCCCGGATTAAACGTTTTTTTCCAATACGAACATTGTGCGTTTTAGCGCCAGCTGTGCACCTGGCTCTTCAGCCAAGCCTCAGTTGCCCTACCAGTGAGTATATTCCTTGAAAATAATGCCGTAAAGCACCGTCATCACCCAAGAACAGGGCTTTCAAAATATTCGTATCCGGGGCAGTTTCCCCACCTCTGGGTTGCAGTTAGAGGAGGACGCTATTCTTGCCTCGTGGTCGCAAGCAGGTCTCTTCCTTGGAACCTCTTCACCCTGATTCCTCACGCCCTGCTTTTTCCTTTGCCCTGGCAAATCAGGACCCGGTGTTCTTTGAGAGGTGCAGATGTTCTCCGATTCCTGGGTGTGCACTGCATTTCAGGGGATTCTTAGCACCTCTTGACTAGAGTGAAGGAACGCTGGGATTCCCCGAAATGCTGCCCACAAACAGTAAACATTCAGCAAAGCTGATACCATTTAATCTACAACTGGCCAACTTTAAAGCTTTTTTTTTCTTCAGCTCAGTGATTTCTTTAAAATATTTTAGCCTGCCTTTAAGAGTGAATGCTGCCCTGCCCCAGGACAGCTTCAAAAGTAAAGATTACTTTACTTTTGTAAAGACAGTAGACTCTCAACTATCTGGCTTGCGACTATCTAGCCTCCATACTATCAGGCCTAGTTAAAAAATAAATATCAATGCACAGTAAAATAAGTTTAAATAATTTTTGTAAGAATTAAGCCTACGTTTTACATTCATGTTTTGTTTATTTTAAAAGTATGTGTATTCATACTGTACAGTGTACATGATTTCATGTTTCCTGCAATTAAGTTAGACATTATAACATTTATCTTAAAATGTGTACAATATTTTTATCCTTGGACTTCCTTTTTCTGTAATAAATTTTTAAAACATACAGTACAGTACATAACAAACATTTATAAAGTACTGGCCTGTACTAAGAGGTCAGAAAATACTAATAAGAGTGGGTTTTGGTATAAAAAGGGTGTTTTTAATGGTATGGGTGGGGTAGGAAGTGAGCATTTACAGAACTCTGGCCTATCCGGCTTTTTTGGTATCCGGCCTGCCCTTCCGCTGCATTAGGCCAGATAGTTGAGGAGTCTACTGTACAGTAAAACAGCATGCATGGAATTAGCTACGAAGCACACAGTGGCGAAAAAAAATGAGACACCAGAAGAACTAAAAGGGCAGCAAACTGTCCCCTGCCACCCACCCACACCCACACGCCACCACCTGCCATTCAGTGCGGCACAGCTTGGGAACAAGCCCAAGGAAACACGGATGAGCTTGAATTTGGGGGCACATGAAAACAGCTTTGCCTCCTGCCGAAATGGCAGCCACTTCGGCCCCAGGCAAGCCGCCCTGATGGAGAGCACTCCGGAGCCTTGGCACACAGCCGACATTGCCTGGCCACCGGGGCTGTGTTCAGGCACAGCGCATGCGCTGACTTCTCTTTGAGCATAGCCAGAGAAGGTTGTATTGGGTGCAGGATTCCATATCCTACGTGCTTCTGGTTTTTACATTGGTGAATTACGCTTGAAAGCGTTTCACCAACACCAGGTGAAACGCTAGTTAGATTCTCCTTGGTTGGGTGTGATGAGGGGAGCCTCTCCCCGCACCCCTGCGACGGACCGAAGCAGAATAAAATGTGTGCATGAGACGATGGGGTAAATGTGCGTGAGTTGTGCAGGTTGCAGAGCTCGTGCGTCGCTGCAGGATCCCGGTTGACCAAGCCAGGCTGCAGATGGGGGTGTTCCTAATGTCGCATGCACAGTGGCCGTCCCCACCCTTCTGCTTTCTGGGTGTGCTGGACCACGGCCCCCAGCGTTGCCCGCCAGACACGATGCAGGTTGGGGAATGCTGGTCCGCAGCCGTACGTCTGGAACGTTCCACGGGGGCTGGAATGGAACCCTTTGGCCTTGTTCCTCATTGCCAGGCTGTGTGATGCCCAGTGCCGTGTGAAATCTTCTTCCCACAGGGCCACATTGGCACCACTGCAACCAAAATCATCGACGTCTACCTCCCGCTGCACCCAAACCAGGACAAGCTGCAGCCCATGACCGTGGTGACGATTGCCAACGCCAAGGTGCACGACTTGATCGGGCTTATCTGCTGGCAGTACACGAGTGAAGGACGGGAACCCAAGCTCAAGTAGGCCCTCCCTTCCTTCTGTCCGTCCGTCCGTCCTTCCCCGCCCCCTCTCCCTAACCCCACTCGCTCTCTTCTGTAGCCACTTTTGCATAATGAAATGGATTTCCACATCAATATTTTTTTTACTGATAAATCTTGCCGGAACACCTCCACATTTATCAATATTTCCTTCCGAGCTATGCATACATCTATGTCTATTTCTCTTTCAATTAAATTACTGGGTTCTGTGTAATGACAAGCATATGAAGCCAGTGTAGTATAAATGAATCATCATTTCAAGATGCTCTCCCTTTTCGGGTGCCTTGTTTGTTTGGTTGGTTTTTTTTAAAAGATAAATCGCATCAACTTTGGTGTCACCTGCATGGGTAACATTTCAATGCCCAACAGGTTTCTCAAGCACTCTTTAACGGCCATGGGATAAGCAAGGCAGTGTTTTCCCAAACTTCTGCTATGACGGAGGGTCGCTGCGTCCTTCTTTCCCCCTCGTGGTAACAATTCCTTCTATAGTTCGGGAAAACGCACAAGGTGCTTCTCAACAGAGACAAGCTGCTCAGGCTGCAGATGAAGCACCAGGGGTCCAAGAAGCCCAGCACGCTGGGATTGGTTCGTACTGTCAGCTGACCTATATGAATTGGCCGGTGCCCTTGAACCATGGGGCTGAGTCTGTAGCAGCAAGGGCGTGCTGGTGCTGGTGGAGGAAGAGGAGGAGGCAAGGCTGGTTCTGAGTGGTTCCCCATTCAACACTCCCCAGTCCTGTGCCACCACTGGGCTGGGTTCATGTGTCATACACTAAATGACTGCCATGATGACATTGCCTGACTCTGAACCTCTCATGTGGGAGTGGCAGTGCCTGTCAAGCCAGGTCAAGCCAAAACTGTTCATCCGCACCAAAGACGGGCTGCTTCCCTTAATCGCAGTGTTTAGAGCGCGCATCTCTTTGTCATTCCCGGTGGCCGCTCTCCCGCTGCCCACCCCAACAACTTTCGCAGTCGTGAAATTCATAATAAAGGTTAACTTTTGCAAGCAGTCGCTGGGCTCTCCGGCTGCCGAAACCTTTTGACCCCAATACAGTTCCATGTGCTGCTTTCATCTCGAAGTTTAAGATGAATTCTCGAGTCCACCTAAACAGTAAGGAGAAATTATCAGAAAATCTTCCAGCACCCCTGCAGAAAGCAAGCATCTTCACAGTGATCAACAGAGTGAGATTACTTCCTTGTTAGCCATCCGTTGAGCAAATGCGCAGGTTACATTAACTTTAATGTGTCATTATTACCTGTTAGAAATAATGAATATCTTCTTCGTGACAGTGTTCGGATGGATCACCTGGAGAACGGGCTCTTGGTGAACTGAGTTGCAACCCAAGATATGCAAATTAATTGAGGAAATTGCAAATCAAGTAGTTGGCAAAATAATTCACTGTCGCATCCAATCAATAAACTTTGTAAATCAACTCATTTAATTCCTCCCAAAAATGATCTATATAGATCAAGCGACCAATTAAACAATTAGCATGCGCTTTGCTATTAATTAATTTAAGCATCCGTCAGGCAATTAAAACTTCCGAAATCAGACTGCCGAGTTTAGAAACCTTTAGGCAGCTCTCTCTATACTTCCACTGGAAGGAAATGAAACGCTGGCAAGGTGGCATTTAAACAAAAATCAGCAAACTCAAATGAAGAAGAAAAAAAGGCATCATGACATAAAATAATCATAATGGGGAAGGGGTTAACCACATGCACCTATATGGTTGCACGTTATCTTGTAAATTATTATTTCAGAATATTAAAAATATTCTCCATTCTTACTGAAACTTATCTGTCACCCCCTCTCTGATCCATGCAGTATGGAGGCTGTGGTTTGGCTTGGTTTTTCTAAAGGCATTGTCCTTGCAGTTGCTTTGCTCTCCATGCAGAGCACTATAATTTTTCTGTGGGGTTTTTCATAATCATCAGAACAGCCCTGCAAAGTGGTTCAGTAGTCCTACCCACGTGATCCTGGGAAGAGGGCTGCTGAAGATGACCACACGATGTCAAGAAAATCTGCATCAGGAGCTTGGTAGTTTGTGGCTGTGGGGCATGCGGAGGCCACTAGCCGAGATGGCTTTAAAGCAGGATCTGACATGGAGGAAGAGAGATCTTCGAACCACTGTTAACTGCAAAGGCTAAGCAGAACCCCCATGTTCAGGAGCAGTATGCCGCTGAATACTAGTCTCTTTATATATAAAGAGTGCAGCTTACCTGCAAGCAAGAAGCACGCTCATAGGCTTACAGTCTGAAAAGACATGGTGCACAAGGGAAAAAGGGTGGGTATGGAAGAGGAAGCTATGTCGTATTTTATTAGGACCAATGAAATGCCCCTCACACTTTAGCACAAATAAGTTTAAAAATGAATGACTGGGCAGCCCCTGGGAGCTCCTCCAAGGTGCTGCTGGGACATTGCGGAAGGACAACTTGGGACCATCCAGACAGAAGTCAGAGGTGCCAGCCACTGCATAGCCTTTTGCAGTCCCCCCTCCCGCCAAAACATGTAAAAAGTCGAAAAGCGGCAGCAAGCTGAAAGCTGCCCCATGTTGGGGAGGAGAGTGGGGAGAAGCTAAGGCCAGCTGCCCCCACCTGCAGCTGATGCGAGAATCAGGATCTTTTGGGGAAGTTGAGTGAGTGAGTGATGGGGGTGGGGGCGCAGAGTGTTAGTCCCAGAAGGCAAAGTCAAGTTAAAGTGGGGGGGACACACCTGGGAAGTGTGAGAGACTCCAGGGGATTGACCCCGAATTGGGGAACCCACTGGGTGCTCTGGGTTACTCTTTTCCGTTTGGAAGGAGGCGGGGAAGAACCGCCATGGCGGCTTTGGGCCCTTCGAACACACTGTACAAACATGACATGAAGCAGGAGCTTTCCGGCAGGACTGACGTGCGCCCTTCTCTCGTTGTTTGCAGCGACAACGTCAACGCATACTGTCTCCACATTGCCGAAGATGACGGCGAGGTCGACACGGACTTCCCACCCTTGGACTGCAACGAGCCCATTCACAAGTTCGGCTTCAGCACGCTGGCATTGGTGGAGAAGTACTCATCGCCTGGCTTGGCGGCCAAGCAGTCCCTCTTCGTGCGAATGTGAGTCTGCACACACGCTGGGTTGCCGTAGCTTCTGGGGACGCGGCCTCTCCCGGCCCCTGCCCCCGGGGCACGCCTTCCCCAGTGTTGTTATCAAGCTGTACGCCACCTCTCCCATTGGCTCCTGGCACTCTGCAGGGGGTGCCTCCTCCACACACACACTTCTTAAAAACCTCCCTTTCTCTCACTCCCGAGAAGTTCTACCAGCTTTGGTGTTCAAAGAAGAATTAAATTGCTGGTGTGCAGTAGGCCACAGAGAGGCCCGGTCTTTGGGCCTGTGGGCACTTTCGGCAGGAGGAAATACCTTCCTGGGCACGGCCACAAAAAGGCTGCCCGGGAGCTTCGCCCGGCCCCAGCGGGTGAGCAGTCTGCCCCAAAGGCTGGGCACCAGGCAGAGCCGAGGTCAGAGCTACCAAAACTGCTCCAAGCCCATGGCTGGTAAGAAAGGGTTAATAGGAAGGAAGGGACTGGAATAGCCAGGAATGTCGGTTCTGAGCACTGTGTTGCCTCCCTCTGCGATTAACCATAGCAGTAGCATTGCAGAATTCAGCTGAAGAGGTAACATGTCTTTAACAACAGAAAATCAGAAAAATGAATATACATGATCATCGAAATTGGTCTTCCAGTAGATAAATTTGTGGGGAAATGGATTTCATTTATTTTCTGTTACTTTCTGCTCTTCCCAGGTTTTTAAATAACTAACTGACACCATAATCTAATATAGGGTCCCTTAGAAGCAAGTCCTATTGGCTCCAGCAAACTTGGTCCCAAGATCACAACCTTAGGCAGAGATAAACTTTTGTCTGTTTTTTAAAATAATCTAAAAGAGAGTGGGGGCCAGACATTTTCTGCTGTTACAAAATTCCTAGCCATAGTTAAGAGGCAAGTAGCTGTAAATCTTGATTTCAAACCGAATTATTCAAGTAACCAAAAAGTATAGAGATGGCATTGTATGAAATAGCATATATCTGGTCGTAGCCTCAAATTTTACATCTATATCTTTCAAAAAGTTAACAGTCGCTTGACAGCTCCCCTGTAATATGAAATATATCTGCTGCAGAATTTCAGCATTGCCAACACTTTATTTATTCATTTCTATAAAATCATTTCTTCACTGCCTTTCAACCCTCAAAGAGCCCTAAAGGCAGCTTACATCCATAAATTCAATTTACCAATAAAACTGACAGTACATAACAACAAAGCAAGAGTGCAATCAGATAGAACAGAGAAGATTTAAAGTACGTCCAAGCGCCTGTCAAGATAAAAAGATCTCTGCTGTTTGTCTGAAGGCTCTGGGAGGAGGCCAGCTGGAGTTCAGAATAGTTTTACACCCTGGGTGCCACAACCAAGAAAGCCCCGCACTGCCTCTCAGGCAAATGTACCTCGGAAGACAGAAGAACGGAGCAAGGACTTGAACAGTGGAAGCGGCAGACAGAGAGCGTCCGGTTCAAACATACCCCTGAAGGGCAGGGTGGGTGGAACACCGACCTTCTGCAAAGTCAGGCATGAAGTATCCGAAGCCAGTTGAGCGACTGCATTGCCTCCAGTACAAATGTGATCTTAATTCAGTGACTAACCAGTCACTGCCCTTTCAGAACATCCAAAACCGAGTCCCTGAGCTGGGAGCTTTGCTTTCTCTCCTGGCCAGGTTGGCCCGCTTGAAGATTTTCTACAAGAAGAAGTGTACGCGTTCACTGATTAGGAGACCTAATTAGTGATTCTCTGTCCAGCTGTGGGATTTCCCCCTTTTTTCTAACAGCCGAGGACATTTCCCCTGCAAAGCTAGATGCAGTTCCCATTCAGTTGCATAATTTGAAGTGCATATTTCTGTGCTTTGTGGGGGTCGATGCCGTGAAGGCCTTTCTCCATTGAAGATGTGGTTTCAACAGCCTCCTGCCGAATTTGGGGCTTAATGCCCCCCCAGATGTTCCTTGTCAGGAAGTACTGAAGATGTCTGCACACACAGACGCAGTTGGATAGATACCTTTCCTTGACTTGCTCCTAAAATGTGGCCATCGCGGAAGTTTGGTGTAAGCCTAACTTCTCCAGCGGGGTGCATTTCCCCTGAATTCGTACCTGCACGAAAAGCCAAGCGCTGTCCAAAGCTGAAACAGTGTTGGTGTTGATCTCTCAGGGCCATTCCTCTGCTGTCTTCAAATCCATTCGTCCGTCCGTCTGTCTAGAACAGTACTTCCAGTTTTGGGGCAGCTTCCCACATTTTTGAAGCCCCGCTGAGTCCTGGAACAAAGGCAATCCACGCAGCTTGCGGTGTTTGGAAATTAGCTTGGCTTCTTCTTGGCAAGGGCCACGTCGGAGGAGGAGATGAGATTGCGCCCGTGCCTGTCTTGAAATGACAGGAGTCGCCATCTGGGAGTGGGGAGCCCTTGTGTGCTCGCCGGTTTCTTCACAGACATTTCTAACCAATCCAACGATTGCGCATCGTCCCAGAGGCGTGCTAAGCAGAAGACCGTCTTACGGGGGATCCCAGCCATTGCGCTGGGGAAGCTGCAGAAGGTGAGCCGCGCCATTACCTGCCCAGAGCTTGCTCGCATGTGGAATCTACTCTCAGATGTGACCCTGCCGGCTGAGCCAGCCCCCGTGGAGCCTTATTGGGTGGCCAGCTTTGGTTTGGCATGTCTGGCAGAAGCAGTTTGCAGAACTTTGCTCTCTTTACAAGTCCTGCCAAGGTAAACTCTCAGCCACCAGTTTGCTTAGAAATACCTGGTGGCAGAGGTTGGACATCGCCCACAGAATGTTTAATATTCTGAGCCGGGAGCTGAATGCCTTTGCAGTTATGGAGAGTAGTAAATAATTGAGTTTGATTAGGAAGAGGCACCTCATTATCCCCCCACCTGTGCCCAGCTGGTAGGGGAGGGTCGAAATGAAGCCATTAGCTGTCTCTCTTACTGGCTTCTCAAAGCACTCAAATACATCTGTGTCTTATTTTCTTTTCTGGCACAATCAGTCGAGTAAGCTAAGCAGGCATGACCGAATTTGGCAAGTTCCAAGGACTCTGGCAAAGTTACACAAGGAGAAGACGGAGGGCAGCCAGCCTGGCTTTGAGTGTGGCCATTAGTCGAGCACGCTGATGGCTTTTGGAAAACAATCGGCTGGGACAAAGGAGTTACTTTTGTCCAATGTCAAGCGCTGAGCTCCCCGGGAAAGCTGCTTTCGTTATCAAGTGGGATTTTCCGAGCTGTGCACTGCCGGGCATTTGCCATCACCGTGCCAGTAGACAGCGAGGTAGGAGACGCCATCTAACGGAGTCCTGTACGGCAGCGACTCCGCAGCGCCTGCGTGGGGATGGCCCTGGAGCCAGGCCGGGGAGACCCGTCTCAGATCTCTCTCTTGCCGTCAAGTTTGCTGGCTGACTTTGAGCCAGTCATTACCCATCAGCCCAACCTACCTCCCAGGTTTGAGCTGAGCAGTGACAGCAGCCCTGGGCATCTTTTGTCAACTCACTACATCGAAGTTATCTATGTTGTAAGCCGCCCCGAGGCTTCGGCGAATGGGGCGGCATAAAAATGTTTTAATAAATAAATAAATAAATAAATAAGTGAGTCACAATCATTCACCTTTGTGGAAGCAGCTCATGCACTCGCTCGCTCGCTCGCTCGCTCTCATGTGATGTCATCATATAGCCAAACTTTGATTGACAGTGTAGCAAGATCCCTGACTGGCCAGGAGGGCTTTCCAGGAGGCAGATAAGTAGTAACCAGGAGAACAAGAGTTCAGAAGCACCTGAGGGAAAGGGGTCGCCCTTGGGAAAAGTGAATAGTCCCCTGGAGCCTTTGGAAGTGTCCTCGCCCCCAGCCTGTTTTTGGTTTGAGAATGTCCAGCACAGCCCAGTGCTAGGAATCGCCCCCGGCCTGGAAAAGTCTCCCTATTTTCATTGCCACGGTTGCTGACATGGACTGGAACCTCTGTTCTACCTGTCAGCAGAGATTGCAATTGGGAGGTGCCGCCTCCAGTCCTTCCTTAGCCAACTGAATGACGGGTATCAAAGCATCGTTGGATGCGTGAGCCATAACTCATCCAAAAGGGAGTCAGAATTTCTGTGCTGCGTCAGACAGGAGGTCCATCTACAGCGGGCCCTAGACAAGGGAGGACTCCGAATTCCTCCGCGCTTACTCAGCGTCTGCCTGCCCATCCATGCTGACCGCAGCCCACTTATCAGAAAGATTAACTTGCAATTAAACTCTTCTGCCTTCGGCATAGAAACGTCTCCATCGAGTCCTGCTTTCGGTGCTGGCTGTTGCCTGGCCTCCAAGATGCCGCATCCCCCACAGACACGGGGACAGGCGATGCGCACACACCTCTGGTTCAGCTCTTCCTTTGAGGACCCCATGTTTCCAAAAAGAGCGGGTGAAAAGCCCCGCGGCCAGCCAGTCACCTGGAAGCGTCTAAAAGACCACGCCTTCTCCAAGGCCACCCAGTCAAGCCCATCTTCAAACGTGGATCTGCGCTCAGGCCAAACGCTCCCCTCCGCAGCGGGCTTCATCAGCAAGCCCCCGCCGTTTCCAGGTGTGTGTTGCGCACGGCCTTAAAGATGGAAGAGGCAGCCGCCGCGTCTGCCGTCCCGCCTCCTTTCTTCTCCTAATGGATTTGCCCAAGCCGAGCCCAAGGGTGACTTGACATGCGCACTCCCCGAGGCTCCGGAGTTCTCCTTGCGTCTCTCTCCTCTTGGGTCCCCCCCTCACACACATACACACACACACACACACACCGTCATTTCCCCTCTCCTGAACCTTGCCACCCTGCCTTCGGCGCCGAGGCTGTAAAGGAAGATGGAAAGCCAAGTTACCTCAGAATGATCACTATCATTAACATTCACGGGGGGTTCACTCATCATTCGTGACTGCACAGACATGGCAGCCGCTCCGAACCGTCCACAGGTGTACTGCGATGATACATATTACATTGTGCCACCATGGATTTATGTATTCTGTAACAAAAGAAAAGTGTAATGAAAAAATACAGACGGCAATCCTTTATTCCTG